CCCCCCCCCCCCCCTCCCACACACACACAGAGGCAGAGGGAGAGGGAGAGGCACACACACACACACACATATATGCACCAATCACCGGTGATTCAGGTGCGTGAGGTGTCGGTATTGGAGAAGGTCAACGACCACACGGACGTCCTGTCGGCCTGCATCGAGTCGTCCACCACCCGCCACGCGCACGTGCGCATGTGCCTGCTGCGGGCGGTCAAGTACCTCCCCAACGACATGTCCTTCATGCTCGTCTACACCTCCGTCAAGCACCAGAAATACGCTCAGTCGAACCCCAGCCATGCCACACGAATTGTCAACGGAGGGAGCGAGCGGCACAAGCACGTGGAGATCAAACCTTCTGGTGGGTGCGGTCACAGAATGCATTGCCATGCCCACACACGTGTGTGAGGATGTGTGTGTGTGTTGGGTGGGGCTCAGGTGTGCTGATATTGCCGCTGGACGACACCGCGTGTCAGCTCAACATCTCCGCCATGCTGTCCTCCGAGTCCATCGTGCTCTTCAGGTGCATATATGCCACTCCTCCACCCAGAGGAAGCCGTCTCTCTCCCTCTCTCTCCCTCTCCCTCCCTCCCTCCCTCCCTCTCCCTCTGTGTGTGTGAGCAGTGCCGAGTTGCTGGGCGAGTCGAACCACTTGTGGACGTCCCTGGCCAACCTGCACAAGCTGCTGTCGTTCCTGCACCCCCTGCCGGCTGACATGGCCACGCAGATCGTCAGCTACCTCACCCACACCCACACCCACAGCCACTCCTACACCCCGATGGCGGCCATGCAGCAGCAGAGAGGAGGGTACAACTACAGCTACAGCCGGGGGTACTCCTCGCCCTTCCCTGCTGCTGTCCCTGACCCGCACGCGCCCCCCGCACAGCCACACGCACATCAACAACACCCCTTGCGCAGCAGTGGCTCACAGCCTTTGTCTCACGGTGGGTGGGCCAGCAGGTGTAAGTGTGCCGTCATCTCACGTGTGTGTTGCGGGGCGGGGTGGTGCAGGTGAGCATGACTCGCCCAGTGTGTCCTCCCTGCCGTCATCGCATTCGCACTTCGGCGAGTCCCCAGCGGCAGACACCACGACCACCACACGGGGCGGTGGCGACCCCGACAGCCAGAACGATCAGAATGATGACGAGGTGGGCCCCCAGGCACCCCCACTTTATCATCCTCTGTCTGTCTGTCTGTCTGATCGTTAGGCTCCCCCGCCCCCACCGAGTGGTTTGCTGCGCGGTTTGGGCGCTGGGTTCATTGCTGAGGGGCACAGCCGGGCAGTGGCGGGGGTGGGCGGCATACGGGAATGAGTGATGGAGTGATGTGACTGACTGACTGACTGACTGATGTGTGCATGTCTGTCTGTCTGTGTGTATGCCGGCGAGATTGATTTGATTTGTTGTGTGCACTCTCTTTATTTGTTTGTCTGTCCGTATCATCATCGTCAATCACCCACCCCACACCCGACCGACCCGCCCCCCACCTATCCGTTCCAACTGACTAGATGTCACTCACGTACTCGGGAAAACCGGAATGACACAAAGCGCATCGCATCGCATTCACTCACACGCACGTTACGCACAACAAACAGCACATGGAGAGATCTGTCTGTGTGATCACGTGATGTGATAGATGGATGCCATCGATCGGCCAAATCACTAGTCAACTACTAAGTGGGGCAGAGCTCCGCCTTAGTGGGTGGCTTCGGGCACGACAAATGCATGTAATGTCCTCAATAAGATCGTACGAACCGTGCCACCCCGCCCCCGCCCTCCCACTCTCCCCCAGCCCTACCCAACACAACACAACACAACACAACGGAAACAGTGAACTGAATGGACGAAGCGTCTGCTGCACTTCTCTCACTCACTCACACAGACAGTGGTATGGAATAAACACACTAACATGACATGCACTCACTCTAAAGACATTACAGAGAGAGACCGTGACGGAGCAAGACCTGCTGTCTTTGCCTCCCTCCGCCACCGTCTCCTTCTCTCTCCATCCTTTCATCGCCATGCATCTCGCCCAGCACATCAGCACATGAAGATCATGAAGATCTGTCTGTCACGGTGGAGCAAGCTTTGAGGCAGGCAGGCAGCACTCACTCAATAAGAATGCTCGCTCATCGACTCGATCGACTAAAGCAGAGAAAGGCTCATAGAATAGACAGACGGACATGAAATTGCAGGCAGCATGAAGAGAGCTTTAAATAGCCACCACATAGAGTGAGAGGAGGGGAGGGGAGGGGTGGGCTGAGTGACCCGAAATGTATCTATCTTCATGGAGATCGAAAGATGAGAGAATTGCGAGAGAGACCCCACCCCACCCACATGCGGCACGCAACGTGCAACCAAAGCACAGTAGCATCCATCTCAATCCATCAAGGCCACACGGAAGGAAACAACCAAAACCCCTCCTCCCATCTGCCGGCCAGTGTGTGTGTTGTAAGGGAGGTAAGCACAACGACCCAAGACAGACACGATGGCCAGACAAGAGCCCAGATGAGATGGGGTGGGGGAGGGAGACCGACCGGGAAACATTGGCACGCAACGCAGAGACATACCCAGTCTCTCTCGCTACTTGCAGTCCTTGGTGCATCCGCCCTTGTGCTGCACGGGCTGCTGCTGCTGCTGCTGGTGCTGCACGTAGGTGGTGTGGACGATCTGGTGGGCCGCTATGGTGTGGGTCGCGAGGCACTGGACGCCCTCCAGTGTATAACCCTGACACACAAGACAAGACAAGACAACACACACACGCCGAGAAAGAGAAAGAGAGAGAGAGAGGGTGTGCGCCAAGGAGAAACAGATGCATGCATCTGTCTCTGTCTCACCTTTCCACACACATATTGGGCAGCGGCGCTCTCCATTGCGTAGCACTTGCCCTTGCCCATCTCCATGTTGTCAGGACACTCCTGCAGGGCGGCCGTGTGCTCGTACCGCACGCACGAGCCGTCCTTCAGGGCGCTGTCCGGCGGGCAAGACGCATACTTGGCCGCCTGCACACACACACACAGTCATGTGTCGCTCCGTTGGTATCATGCTGCTGCCTCTCATCCCTCTTGCTCTCTCTCTCTCTCTGTGTGTGTGTGTGCTGGGGGGGAGGGAGGGTCCCTATTACCTACCGTCTTGATTTGTGTGCAGGTGTCGCCCACGAGGTCGTATCCCTTGGTGCACCGGAGCTGCTTCTGCGTGTACCGTGCCGCCACACACGAGTTGCCCTGCCTCTCATAGCCGGATGGGCAGGACACTGCAACAGCCTCCCTCATTTCCTAGACACACACACGCACACACACACAGAGATGCATTTGCAGCCCGATTCTCTCTCTCTCTCCCTCTGTGTGTGTGTGTGTGTGTGTGGTGGAGAGAGGGCACCTGCACACAGGCGTCGCCACTTGGTGTGTGTCCCGGCGGGCACTTGCTGAGCATGTCGGCGGTGATCAGTCTGGTGCATGCGCCGGTGTCGCTGGCCGCATAGCCCTCGGGACACTTCTGCTGCATCGCCACATCAGTTCTCTGCACACACACACACACAGACAGACAGACAGACACACACAGAGAGAGAGAGAGAGGGAGATGTGTCTTGGGGTGGATGTGTGTGTGTGTGTGTGTGAGTGTGATTACTACGTGCCTGGACGCATCTGTTGTCTTCCTGTTGATAGCCATCGGGGCACGAGTAGAGGTAATCGAGGACGGTCTTCTTGACGCAGAGCTCCTTCGACTCACCCTCCTTGGCGTAGCCAGCCGGGCACACAAACGTCCCTGCAGACAGACAACAAAGCCCAAAACACTTTCTCCCTCTCTCTCACTCTCTCTGTGTGTGTGTGTGTGTGCATGGTGTTAGTTAACATGGTGTTGACTGACCAGGTTCGTATCTGCAGCTGGATGTGGTCTTGTGAGCGGCCTCCCCGGCGCACTTCTCACACAGCACCCCACCGTCAGAGCCGGTGACCTCGGACTGCTTATAGTCGGCGGGACACTGCATCACCTTTGCCTACACACACAGCCCACACACACGTCTCTCTCTCTCTCTCTCTCTGTGTGTGTGTGTGTGTGTGTGTGTTTGGGGTACCTGGGTCTCTCGCGCGATGCACTGTGATACGGCTCTGCTCTTCTTGCCCCTACTCGACGACGCCGAGACCGTCTCCTCACCTGCACACACGACACACAACAGGCAGGCATGCTGCTGCCTCTCATCCCTCTCTCTCCTTCTGTCTCCCTCCCTCTGTGTGTGTGTGTCTGTGTGTGTGTGGTGCTTACTCCCGTCGGGGCAGTATCTGTTGAGCTCTGCGTACTGCGTCATGGTGCAGGAGGCGCCATCGGCCGCCTGGACGGTGTCTGGGGGGCAGTAGCTGATGAGCTGCGCCTCGAGGGTGCGCTCGCACTTGTCGGCCGCCATGCTGTAGCCATCCTGGCAGTAATACTCGTACGCTGCTGTCGTCTGCACCACACACACACACACACATACACACACACACACAGAGAGAGAGAGAGAGATCGTGTGCGTGTGTGGGGATCTCATCTCATCTGATCTACCTTCTTGAGACAGTCGTTGCCCATGTTCTCATAGCCCTCCGGGCAAGACTTGATGACATCCGCGCTCGCGTAGGCCACGCACTGGTCGCCGGTGGCAGTGCCCTCGGCGCAGTAGGCCACGGCTTGCTTGGTGTAGGTCATCTCACAACTCTCGCCAACGTCCTGACGACCACACACACACACACAGACAGACAGACAGACAGAGAGGGATTCGCACACCCACAGCCACACCCACACAATGAAGACCCACACTGACTGACCTGGTAGCCAGAGTGGCAGAGGTACTCGGGGGCGAAGGCGGTCTGCTTGACGCAGCCCTGGTTGTTGAGGGTGTAGCCGTCTGGGCAGTAGGTCTTGATGGCCTGGGTCACCTTTTTCACACACACCATCTCCTTGCCGCCGCCGTGCGCACTGTACCCAGATGGGCACTGGGCCTGCAACAGACAGACAGAGAGGAGGGCTGCGGTGCGGGGCGTCCAGGAGGGAGGCCTGCTGTGCGCCTGCTGTGCGATCGATGCATTCCTTACCTTGGCCGCTGCAGCGACCACCTTGGAGCACTCAGTCTCATCCGATTTCTCATAACCCTGCACACACACACACACAGAGACAGACAGACAGACAGATTGACACCTAGAGTGCCCCGCAATCACATCAATCAAACACATCAATGTGCTGTGCTCTTTTGGCACAGAGATCTCTGCTCCCTCACTCACACTCACCTTGGGGCACACATACTCGTACGTCACCTGCGCCGCCGCTGCCCCACCCCCCTTGCTGCCGTGGCCGTGGCCGCCATACTTTCTGTACTTGGCGTGGCCACGGTGCGAATGCGGGCCGGCAGACGCCAGCTGCAGCTGCAGTCCACCGAGGATGGCTGCACAGAGCGCGAGTAGGGCCGACAAGCGCACCATGATGGCAGATCTTTGCTGATCTTTGCTGATCTTTGCTGGTGTTCGTGAGTGAATGGGCGGAGTCGTAGATCTTTTGATGAGGGCGGGGCAGGGCAGGGGTGGGCGGCAGGACGTTCGGTGGTGCGGGGGTGAGCCAGTTGGTGAGTGCTATCTCTCGCGGTGGAGAGGGAGATGACCGTTGAGATGTAGCCGTTGAAGTGCCAAAATAGTGGCCCACGTGATGGTGGTCAATCAATTCATTGCCGTGTCGGTGTCTGGCACACTAATCAGCACGTGCACCTTCTTCACGCACACGCAGCTCGCCAGCAAAACCGTTCTCTCACGGAGAGAGAGGCAGGCAGCCCACGCTACTTCCGCTCACACATGGACAGACAACTCGTCTGCACCACGCACAAACCAGACAAGACACACAAAGAGAGAAAGGGCACGTCCTCCCTCCCTCCCTCCCTCCCTCCCTCAGTAAGTCGATCAGCCACCCATCCCCCTATCGCTCACAACCTGCTGCTCCACCCCCACTCCCACCCCAGCAGCAGCCGCCTCTCCGTTCTCGAGCTTCCGCTTCTTCCCCCCCATCACGGCCACATCAGACCCCAGGACGAGTGGCGGCTTGGTCCAGTCGATGCCCAGCTGCTTCATGCGCACGGCCGCTTCGAAGAGGTAGTCGAGGCACTCGGCTTGCGTCTTGGCCTGCACCCAGCTGTCGCCCCACACGTAGACGCCGTGCCGGCGCACCAGCACGGCGGCGGCCTTGGGGTAGGCCTTGATGGCCGCCGTCAGGTCGTCGGCCAAATCGCACTCGTGAGCCGTGTTCTGCATGGGAAGAGAAGAGAGAGAGAGAGAATGAGAGAGAGGCGAACACATTGGGGAATGCTTGTGTGGTCGTGCTGTGCTGCGTGCCTCGATGATGGGAACGACGAGGTGGTCGTGGTAGCCGTGCCCCTTGATGCCCTTGATCATCTCGAGGCACGTGATGCGGAACTCGCTAGCACTCTCGTCCAAAACCGTCGCCAGCATCGCGTTCAGGCTGTGGCTGTGCAACACAGCTCCTGACCACACACACACACACACACGAACACACACACACACGAGAGGGTCATGTGAGCGTCTGTGTGTCTGGCTGAGTATCTGTGTGCTCACCAGCCCCCCTGAGGGTGTATGCGGCCATGAAGAGAGGGGCACACTGGCTGAGCTTCAGGTGGGAAGGGCCGGTCACCACGGCGCCTTGGCTGTCGAGCTCGAAGATCTCGCCGGGCTGGATGCGCTCCTTCTGCACACCTGCATGACATGAGATGAGCCAACCAAACACACCACACACAGCCGCGTCCATCTCCCTCCGTGTGCAGTGAACTGTGTGGGTCGTGTCCACTGACCTGAAGGGGCCATGTAGATGGTGTCGCCCTGTTTGATGCTCATGCCGCCACCAGTGCCGGACGCCCACCCTGACAGGACAGCACAAGGGCAGAAACGCACACCAAGATCATAGATCTCGTCCTCGGCAGCGAGTACCTTTGTCATAGAACAGGCGGCAGAGCTCACAGATGCGCTCCCGCGCATCATCCGCCGGAGGTGGTGCCCCGTTCGCCGACATCCGGACGCGCCTAAGGCTTCACGCAATTCTGCGCCTGTGAGACGTCGGCAGCCTCCAGTGTAGGGTTTCTGCTTAGGGTCCGATGGCTTTCGTAGGGTGGGTCATTTTGTTCAGCTGGAAACTACAGCTGCGTTCGTTCGTGTGCCTGTCGCCCTTCCCCCCTCGTCCCTCACGATGAGCAACTGGGATGTGCCCCCTCCTCAGTATGCCGGCGGCTTCAGCGAAGCCCACTACCAGCAACAGCAGCAGTACCACCAACAGCAGCAGCAGTACTACCAGATGCAGCAGCAACAGGGCTTCAGCGATGCCCACTACGCCAACGCACCGGCACAGGACCCGCACCAGATGCACCAGCTCATGCACACCAAGAGGGGTAAGCCAGAGCACCCCTGACGGACAGACAGGCACACGTGTGTGTGTGTGGTCAGTTCCTGTGACGATTCTGACGGGCTATCTTGGCTCGGGCAAGACCACACTCCTCAATCGGTACACACACAGGCGGCTGAGGGTCGGACTCTGAGTGAGACACTCCGTCTCTGTGTGTGACGTGTGTTGTCTTGTCAGCATTTTGACTGAGCATCACCACAAGAAATACGTTGTCGTCGAGAACGAGTTTGGAGAGATCGGTGGGTATCCGACAGAGACAGACAGACAGACAGAGACCGACAGGAAGGCTTGCTCACCTTACCCCCTCCCTCCCTCCCCTGCCTGTGTGTGTTGTGTGTCTGGCCTGGCTGTCTCTGTGTGTGTGGCGTCCATCCCATCCATCCGTCAGGCATAGACAACTCCCTGGTCAAGGAGAAGCTCAGCGCCGATGACGTCATCGAGCTCAACAACGGCGTGCTGTGCTGCGGCATCGACCAGGACATGCTTGGCGTCCTGCCAGAAATCATCAGACAGCGACAGGTCCGCCCCCCCGCAGTCACCAACACAACACACCCCTCCCCTCAACCGCCTCTCCATCGCATCAACTCAACTCAACTGTCTCTCTCCCCCTCTCTCTGTGGGTGGCTCTGTGCTGTGCTGTGCTGTCATGCATTCTGATGCGCAGGGCAACTTGGACGGCATCATCATCGAGATGTCAGGTCTGGCCAACCCTGCCCCGGTGTGCCAGATGTTCATGCGCGACAGGATGATGACGGAGGTCGCCAGGCTCGACGGCGTCGTCACCATCGTCGACGCCAAACACATCTGCCAGCAACTCGACCGTACGCCACGGCACGGCAACACACATAGATAGCTATGACACACACAGAGAGGGGATGGAGGGAGGCCAAAGGTAGTGGGGTGTGGATGGACGCCTCCCCCTCCATCCAACCGTCCGTGTGTGTGTGTGTGTGTGTGCGTGTCTGCAGGTCTCGTGCAAGAGGAGGAGCTTCCGCCTGGCGAGGTTCCGGCCGACTACGAATACGAGAACGAGGCCACAGAACAGGTGGGTGCCTATGGGGTGGGTGTAGCTCTCTGTCCATTGCATGTCCCTCCCTCGCTCCCTCCCTCCCTCTCCCTCTCACTCTGTGTGTGTGTGTGTGTGTGTGTGCAGATTGCGTATGCCGACCGCATCGTGATCAACAAGATCGATTTGGTGACCGAGGACGAGCTGGCCTCCATCAAGAAGCGCATCGGCTCCATCAACGGCTCGGTGGAGCTGCTGACCTGCAAACACGGCCAGGTGGACCTCAGCAAGGTCTTCGGCATCGACGCGCAGTCACTCAAGACCATCGAAGACGAGCATGAGGACCACCACAAGGACCACCACCACAAGGACAAGGACCACTGCCATGAGCACCATGACGACGAGCACGGCCACGGCGACGAGCATGACCACCATGACCATGAGGAGGGGGAGAAAAAGGGCCACGGCCACGGCCACGGCCACGGGCACGGGCACGGCCTCGGCCACCACCACGACCACGTGCACAACCAGCATGTGAACAGTGTGGGGTTCGAGTACGAGGGCCCCCTGGACAGCGAGCGCTTCTACGAGTGGGTGCAGGCACTCATCGAGCTGGAGGCAGCCGACCTCTACCGATACAAAGTGCGTGAGTGGCCCTCCCCGCCATACCCGAAACACACACCTACACCCATGAAAATTGTGGCTGGATGCTCTGTCTGTCTCTTTGTGTGTGTGTGTGTGTGTAGGGTGTGTTGTGGATAGCCAACGAGGAGCAGAAGTTCGTCTACCACGGCGTGCACTCCATCTTCGACGGCAACTTCGGATCAGAGTGGAAACCCGGCGACAAACGCGTCTCACAGGTACCCCTCCCCTCCCCTCCCCGCCCCCCATCCACACACACACATAAGGTACCCATCTCCTCTCCCTCTGCCTCCCTTCCTCTCTCGTGTCGTGTCAGGTGGTGTTTATCGGTCGTGACCTGGACCGCGACGAGCTGTACGAGTGCTTCCAGTGGTGCTGGGCCACGCCCGAGAACGCCCAGGCGGAGCCGCCCGCCTTCATCAAGCACATGTACTCCCAAGAGATGGAGGCGGAGCGTGCCGCCGCCGCGCACCAGCAGGCCATGCAGGAGGCTCAGCAGCAGGCCCTCATGCTGCAGCAGCAGCAAGCCATGCTCATGATGCAGCAGCAGCAACAGGCCGCCATGATCATGGCACAGCAGCAGCAGGCAGCCCAGCAGCAGCAGCTGCAGCAGCAGAAGGGGTCTCCGTCGGCGCCGCCCCCCTACACACCTGAGCAATATGGCTACCTCCAGCCGCAGCAGCAGCCGTCAGGCCAGCACGACTACCCATCGCAAGCACAGGGGCAGTGAGAATGAGCCTAGCCTCTGGCACAAACAAATAGGGGAGGGAGGGAGGGAGGGGCGGACTCGTACCTGCACGTGTGTGTGTGTCCATCGCTATGTGTGTGTGCGTGTGGTGTCGGTATCTTCTGCGAATGAGTGACAGCATCGAATCCACCCACGTCACGTCTACACCCACACTAACTGCCTGCAGCCGTTTTATGCCCTTCGGCCCATGACCAGACAGACCACCAGGGAGGGAGGGGAGTCAAGTATTTTCAAGTGCATGTGTGTGTGCGTGTGTGTGTGTGCTTGCGTGTGTCGTGAGGTGTTGTGTTGTGTTGTTTGTGCGCCTCGGCACCTTCCGCTGCTCGGCGAGTTGGGGCGTGCTCGCGAGTGGGTGGTGGTGCCACACGAGGGGCCTTTAATGACACCTTGATTGAGAATGAGTGAAATCGACAACGGGGCGGTCGGTGCTCTTTAACAACATCATGATGTATGTGTTTTGTGTGTAAGCGCGTGTCTGTCTTTCTGAGAGGCGGCCTGCTCGAGAGTGAGTGGACTATCGCGCCACTCTTTTTACCCTGCCTCTCTCCTGCCTTTTAAGATGGTCGACTAACTTCGATGGCTTCCCCATATTTCTCCCACATAACAAGGGGGTTTTTGACGCCATTCATTCCACCTCGATGGCCGGATGGATGGATGGATGGCGGCTGAAAGACTTTTTAAGTAGGGCCTTCCTTGCCGGCCGGCCTGCCTTCGTGACTGACTACCTGCCTGATTGCCCTCTCTGTCTGTCTGCCTGTCTGCCTGCCCACCTGCTGCTGCCCATGACCTCTCTTGATGTGGCTTTGCTTGACGTTCGATGTCCGTGTCACAGTGGCGTCGCCGAGGCACTCATCAGCCAGGCAGCATCGATGGCCATCGATGCTGCTAAGCTGATGAACACCTGGGGGATGCCTCTGTGTCGCTGGCAGAGAATGGCGGGAAAGTCACACGGAGGGCGGCGCACATGCCAGTGTGACACAACGTTGTTTGCAATGTGTCGGCTGCCTGTTGTGTGTTTGCCTCACACCACACCCTCACTTATATGACTGTGTGTGAATGATATGATGCGTTGTGCGTCCTGTGGTGGTGGTGGTGCGGGGTGCTCATCGACAGCCACAGCTTGTCGGGCAAAGACTGGCTATGGCAGCTGATTAGCGTCGGTCGCACTCCATCCATCACCACATGGGCTGCATGACTCACACAGTTGTGACTTGAGTGGATGACACCATGCGGCTGGCTGCTTTTGTGACTGACACCATCACACAACACACTCATCATCAAGACGCCACAATCTCAGATCTCGCACTTCAGCTTCGTTTACCAAGTCAGCTGAGCTTGCAGACCGCCACCGTCTTCCCCTTCTTCCACTTTGCGATGGCATCCGCCCTCCTGCTTACTCTCGCCGTATCATTGCTGTCAGCGTTCCGCATCGTTCCGGCCAATGGCGAGGTCTCGTCAGCTATGCTCCGCTCATCGCAGACAGACTCACAACAGCACCAACAACGGCTCAGCAGAGCCAGGACGCTGCAGGCAGACGAAGATCTAGGCGGCTCTGATGCAGATGGCGGCAGTGATGGTAATGATGACAATGCCGGCCCGGTGTTCATCGAGGACGTTAAGGTGCCGCAGGAGCCCTTCTGCAAGACCGAGAGCACGGAGAGCGCGTCACTTGCTGAAGGCCTGTCGACTTCCACCACCTACGCCATCCACGACTCTGCCACTGGCGGGTTCTGTCTGGTGACTGACGGCATAGCCTTGCTGTCGACGCCAAATGACAGCTTCCCCGCCATCACCTGGAGCTGCGACGCCACGACGGCGGGCGCCACAATGGAGGTGGCCTTGCCCCCCGACTCGCCCAGCACCAACGGCACTCTGCGCATCCGGGGGGCGCTGAAGATGCTGTCTGCTCCGGTGGACCCACAGTGCGTCGGGGGCATCATTTTGGTGGACTTTGTCTACACGGGCCTCGACAAAGTGACCGGCGAAGACGGTACAGTGACGGGGTATCGCATTGCCGCCAATGGCACCACTAGTGGCAAGGGAGAGGGGACGGCAACGGTGGCGGACATCCCGGATGGCTGCGAGGGTTTGGCTGAGGCGCAGGGCATGCAGGGCTTCCTCGGCAGCAAGGCCGATGACGACGGCAACCTGTTGGTCATCGCACCCGACCTACAGCAGCGGGAAGGAGAGGCGTCGGGCGGCCAGTGGGAGGCGGAGGGCGGGCTGGTGGTGTTTTCGCAGGACGCCTACAGTGGGCAGTTTGTACGGCAGTGGGACTTCGTTGTGGGGGGCGCCTGCCGGTGATCAATCAATGAGTGAGTGGTATGGGATGAAGTAACTAATTAATTAATTAGCCAATTGCATGTTTGTGTGGGTGAGGTGCATGTTTGTGTGGGTGAGGAAAGAGGGATGGGGCGAGCCGCTTTGTTTTTTCGTCGTGGCCGCTCATTTACTGCCGGCTGGGGGGTCAGCGGGTTGCCAGACTGTGAGCAATCTAATGGGTGGGTGTTTGCACCGCTCGGGCGGCGGACTTGTCCGAGAATGGGAGAACCTACATGCCATGCCATGCCATCAATGCATTCGCTGTCGGTGGTCTATGCTTTTTGTGTCTGTCTGTCTGTCTGTCTGGCTAACTTGCTCCCGTGTCCATGGGGGAACTTTCCCGTCCGTGCGACTGACTTGTGTGCGTGTGTTGTCTGCCTGTCTCTTTATCTGTGGTTCGTTTAGGGTGGCTTCTCTGTGCCGTACTTACGTACACGCTAGCTCAATTCGGTGTGTGCACGTTTCTGAGCGAGGGAGCCTGTGGACGCTCGGACGTTTGACAGATGGATGACTGACGGACTGATGGAATGGAGACTGGCGTGTGTGTGTGAATGCCTTCTTTCCGTATCCTTATTTCGCGTGTCCTGTATTATTTGGTGGTCGGTTTCATTCTGTTTCATTGTCCCGCATTTCATCTGGCTGCCAGAAAGAAGGCACCCCTCTCTCTCTCTCTCTCTCTAGCTGGCCGTGTGTCTGTCTGTCTGCCTGCCTGTCTTGTGTGTCTCGGTCCAGGCGGCCATCTCAGGCAGCAGTCGTCTTGACCTTGAACTTCTTGGGGCACCCCAGGGCCTGCGGCATGCTGCACTGTAACAGCTGCCAGCCGGAGTGACTTTGGCGCCTCAGAGTGAACTGCGCAGAACAAACACCGACAAACGACATCTCTCTTTCATCAGTGCTGTTGATATACCGAGAACTCCTCTGTCCACCCGACGCGCGCGCGCCGCGCCTCCTCCCCCTTCACAGTCACGTCAGGGAGCAACGTCTGCATTGACCAATTTGCCCCATGGCCAGCACACACGTAGACATGCAGCATATCAATGTCAACGGTATCTGTTCTGTCTGTCCATACCAGAGTCTTGCTGGCTATGTCGCACGTGTAGATCTTCACGTCTTTGTGGCATTGCGAAGAGTTGGGCAGGGTATGGAAAGCTTCCTCGTCTCTGCAAGTACAAGTACGAAACCGGGAGTGCCGCGAGTACGGTACAAGACGAATTCGAAAATCATCGCGCAGCGAGAATGCAGCCATTTCAATGATTTCATTCCGAATCTGCACACAACCGGACCGCAGTGAGCTGCAGGGAAGGAATAGTAAAAAGTAAAAAGTGTGAGACACACACAAGCCCATATGTCTCCACTACGCTACGTAGATACTTACCTGTGTCGAGGGGGCACTTGGCCACATGAGCGTCGATGAAGTACTCGTGCGGCTCCCCATCACGAGTTTTGCTGAACTTCCCGACGAGATGTGATGTGGTGTGTGTGTGTGTGTGTGTATGTGTTCGAGCGACCAGCCTAGCCCCGTGTTTTCGTGGTGGAAAAAGTATCCTTTTTCGTCGGTTTCCATGACGGCGACATAGGTCTGCATGCCGACAGACAAGGCAAAGAGACAACAGAGAGGCACATGATGCGCTTGTCGGCTCGATGGTGACATATATACATGTACCAGCTTGAAGTTGTCAGGTTTCTCGCAGGAGTAGACGACATTCGTCTCCGGGTCGTAGCAGCGGGGCGGAGTGTCTGTGATGTCCTCGAGCTGCGAGTAGTGAATGTCCGACCCGCGAGGCCTGCACCTGTACGCTCGGCAACTCCTCACTCCAGCCGTTTCTGTTGCTGACAGTGTGGCGTTCATCCGCTGCTCACACGCAATTAAGCGCGAGGAAGGGCACACAGCACAGAACCATCGGTGAGTTGACCCTCTGCATGGCGCTAGCTGGCTCACCTGCAAAGCCGGCGGCACTGCGAAGGAGGCCGATCGAGTGGCCGAGAAGAAGAGCGGCAGCAGCGGAGACAAGAGCAGCAGCCGACCCGCCATGATGCAATATTATTGCAGTGCCGGGGTCCGGGCTTCGACCTGTCCTGCCTCAGGAAGGATAGGGAGCGTCAAGGCGCGAGACGGCCAGCTTTCGGCTGCCCCCGTAAACGCACAGCCCCCTCTTCGTGCCACGCGCTTTCCCCCCGCGACTAGCGCCGACACGGGATCTGTCTATCTCTAGGCCTCTTTTGTTTGTTTCTTTCTTTCCTTCTCTTTGCTTTCTGTGTCTGGTTCTTCCCTCACCCCCCTGGACGCCCCATGCGCACCAGCCGAGGGCACACTCAGGAAGCAAACACAACACCTGCGTGTGCCAACCACCTGACTGAGCGAAGTGCTGGTGCATGTGATGTGATGCATCAATCAGTGAGGAGAGAACAGCTGACACATCAGCAGATTGAATGAATGAATGAATGAATGAATCACCCAGTGCTGCCACAACAAACGCACGTCTTAGTTGCGCCACCCACCGACCCACAGCCAAAAGCACACACACATCGCAGCGCATCACATGGCACCCTCTACCTGTGCCTCGCCTCGCCCACACACAATCTCTCCCTCTCTCATCTGTCGCTCATCTGTCTGTCAGTCAGTACTTTGCCTCCTGGATGGCCGCCTGATGTGCGGCATGCGTGTCGCCTGCTGTCCCGACGGTGGTCTGTATGAAGGCCCTGACTGCCCTGATCCACACAGTGGGCATCTCCGACACCACCAGCTGCGTCCTCTCCTCAGGCAACAGGCCAGCCAGCGCCTCACTCACCGAGGTCTTGTGCATCCCGTCAGAATCGCCTGCACACACACACACACACACACATCCATCCATCCATCTGTTCATCAAAAGGTGCAGCGCTTCGCGTGTAATCAATCTATTGTGTGATCTGAGTGACACTCACATACCATGGCCCATGAAGTGCACCACCATGTATGAGATGCCCTCTCCGCCCGCCACCCCACTCAGCGACGCGATCTGCTCCTTGCCCACCCCGATCACTGGGCAGTCCCCACTGCCGCTGATCCACCCCGCCCAGCCATCAAACACCCGAGTCAGCTCGGCCGCATCCATCTGCTCGATGCGCGCCCGGTTCTCCGGGCGGGCGCTGCAGAGGGCGCGGAAGAATGGCGTGTTGAGGAGGGCCGGGATGCCGCCCCGTCGCAGCCGAGTGGCGTATTGTATGTAGTACTCGTTGGAGAGCACGTCGGCGGCGAGGTGGCCGCCGGTCATGTTCATCAAGATGCACGCCTTGACGCGGGAGGGGTACTTGAGGGCGAACAGCAAAGACCTTACAAGACATGACACCAGAAAGACATGCATGGTATGGTTGGTGGGTCCGTGTGTGTGTGTGTGTGGTCTCGGTCACATACATGCGCGCCCCGCTGCTGTTGCCGACCAGGATGACCTTTCCATAGCCCAGTGCGTCCAGCAGCCCACACAAGTCATCAGCTGCACGACAGACAAAACACACACACTCACCATACACACCACACCTAGTGTGAAAGAGAGAGTGCATCGTTTGCTGGCCACATGCGCACCCTGCAGTTGCGGCTCGGGCACCACCCCATCATCGCTCCCCTCCCCCTCTAGAGCCCCGTCGATGCTGAAGTCTGAGGCTCCTGTGTTGCGCCTGTCCCACACCATTCCCACCGTGTCCGGCAGATCTTCAAAGAGCCATGATTGCAACTCGCACGCATCGAGCCCGCCTTGCCCACCTGAATGAACGGGACACACACACACATACGGGACACACACACACATACAGAGAAGAGAAGAACAGTCAACAGCAGGGCTTTCTTGGTAGATGCTCACCGGGCGTGAAGACGATTGGCGTCAGCTTGGATGGAGAGGGCGGGTGCAGGGCAGCCTTGCCGAGCAGCTGATAGCGAATGGCGACGCCGTTGACGGTGCGGTATTGCGGAGGGGTGGAGGGAAACGTCATCGAGTGGAAACGGGCACGAAAATGTGCGACATAGTCGACGAGCCCAGCGATGAGCCAGCCGCTGCTGGAGGGAGTGGCGGAGCCGGTGCTGCTGTTGCCCATCTCACCATTCGGGCAGGCTCACTTTCTCCTACGTCCAGTCTTTGCCCCCAATCACACGACCGGCCCCCCGTCACCCCCCCATGTGCATGCAGTGATCGACGAAGGATTGAAAGCACAGCACTGGTGAGTGCATGCGCAGAGTAGCTATCGATTCAAGTGGCCATGGCCGGAAAAGGCTGGCTGCATTCAGAGGACGTCCATGTCCGTCCATCATACATATCGACGAGAAAGCACAGTGCACGACAGGCCGGATACTCGTGCTGGCACTGGCACTCACACTGCCATGCTGTCGGTCGGTCCTTCCACTTCATTGACACCTCTCCCACGGCTGCACGCACAGACGGACAGACAGACAGACAGACAGACGAGACCCACGCACACACAACCCATAACTCACGAAGCATCCATCATCGGTGCCTTTGTTCTCGTCGCACCTTCTTCGGTCTCTCTTTCGCATCGGCCCATGCCAGGCTGTCGGTGCCGCCGCCCTTGTGCGGCGCGTCGTCCACCTGCTGAATGCCTGGGGGCCGCCTGTCGTCACGCATCATCTCCTGAATGTCAGGCAAGGTGAAGCTGCCTGCAATGCAGGCAATCACACACACAAAGCACACATGCACAGAGCACAGAGCACATAAGCGCATGTGGCCATGTTGCAGTGAGTGGCGTACTTACATGGGTCTTTGGCGGCGTCGATCCGTTCGGCCAACAGCCGACGGCACCGCTGAAGGTGGTCCATGGCGCCCTCACCCTGGCGCAACACAAGCAGGCCTTCGCCCTCATCCTCCTGGTTGCACGATACACATGTATCGCAAAGCACAAGGAAACACACCACAGACACTCACCTCACTGGCAGGCAAGCCATGTGAACATAACATGCGCACCTGGAAGCCGCTGCATCTCATCAGCTCAATGAAAACCGCCGTGTGTGGCTCAAAAATGCGCTCTAGAGCCGACAGCCGAAGACGCTACGCACACAGACACACGCACGGATAGGGAACCCAGATGCGACGAGTGCATTGATTGCATGCTTCTCTCTCACTTGAAGGGCGCGTTCAGAGGGCTGCTTCTCGATGCGTTGATAGATCTCCAGCAGAGCGGCGAGCTGCCTGTTGGCCTCCATGGCTTCGTCGGCGCCCCGCAGCAGTGACTCGAAGGCGGAAGTGGGCCTGTCGGCGGGATCTGCCAGCGAATCGTCCAGAGTACCGTCGGGCGATGTCTGAGAGACGTCCTGCATTGCTGTCGAAGCCATTCTCCCCTCGATGGTCGATACCCGACGGCGCGCCAAAAAGCTCGCACAGCGAAAGCGGAACCGCTGCTGCATGAAAGCGGGCGAAGAAGGGGAGAAGAAGGGCCTTCTGTGGGCGTTGTGGCGTGCCTTGGTCCATGTGTGCTGTTATGCGCTCGCATACCCATGAAAATCTTGGGTTTCTGGTGGAGGTATGAGCCGGTTTGCTGCTGTCCCAGCAGCGGCAGCAGCAGCTGCAGCAGGTGGGTCTGGTGATGGTGATTGGCGTCAGTTCTTTGTGCGTGATCAAGCCTACGGAGAATGGAACGTCTGGCTGGACCCGAAGGACAACGCACGGGAAGGCTTTCCCTCACAGCCGCTCACAGATGAGTCAGGTGAGTGAGATGAGGCAGACACAAAGACAGACAGACACATGGATAGATAGAGATGCTGCGCGCACTCGGCATCTCCCTCCCATCTTCCTCTCTGGTGTGATATCTGTGGTTGGTGTGGACAGCCGCTCGTTTCGCCCAGTGGCTGCGTCGCCATCCCCCGCCAGCCGACTGCTACAGAGCGACGCCGAACGACCGAGTTCGTCCGACGGCGGTGGTCAACCTGAGCAACAATCACTCGTTGGGCGACCGGGGCCTCGACGCCATAGTAGGGGCGCTGCTGGAGATACGACTGGACATCCGTTTGCTCAAGGTGTACAAATGCAACATAGGCCGCGCCGGTGAGCACACAGAGATCTAGGGGGGAGATGTGTGTGTTCGGTTCGGTGTGTGCGTATGTGTGTGTGTCAGGTGCTGAGTCGATATGTCGACTGATCAGGGGCCTGCCGACGGCGATGGCGGAGATCCACCTGTCGGACAACCGCATCGACCAGGCCGGCGCGAAGGCCATCATGGAGGCCCTCGTAGACCTGTCGCCGCACCTCTACCCTCGACACGACCCCAAGTTAGTGTGTGTGTTGGTAAATGGGATGGTTGACGGAATGTAGTGAGAGTGTGTTTCCGATCTCTGTGAATGTGTTGTGTCGTGTCGTGTGTGTGTGTGTGCAGGCGACCGCCTGCGCCGGTGTGGCTAAGATTGGTACATGCCGCATGCCAACACACCGATGGATGGCTGAATGGATGGATGGCGCACCATTGAATTGCTCAAAAAGGTGTTTGTGTTGTGTCTGATCTGATCTGATCTGATCTGATTGTGTGCAGGAGAACAACCCCATCCATGACGCGCCAGCATGTGAGCCAAGCCAAGCCACCAAACCTGCATTTCACATATACGTCACTTTCTGTACCCCTCTAATGCGCTGCGCTTGCCTTCAGTGCTCCGGTGGCTCGAGTTGCGCCGCGTCCGCGTGTGCACGAATGTGGATCGGAATAGGTGCACCAACACACGGTGTGCCCTGGTGGACCGGCGAGACCCCCGAGGCACCTGCCCCCTCCTCCACATCGGCACCCTGGCGGCATACGCAACTTCTCGGGACACCAGACGCCTCCCGCAGCCACAAGCACAACAACAGCAGCAACACGAGAGGCAACAGCAACCGCACCAGCCGGCAGCAGCAGCAGCAGCGGCTTCGCCTGTCGATCGGCCGTGGGCGCCACCCCCTCTCCCTCCCTCCCCATCGCCATCGCAAGTACCCACATTCCCTCCGGCGGCATCGGCAGCTGCTGCTGCTGCCTCGTCGCAAGCGACGGCTAGCTCGTCGTCGGCTGCTGAAGTGAGGAATGGTGATAGAGCTCCTGGTGTCCCGTTTTCTCGGCCAGCCGCCCTTGATATGAGTCAGCTATTGCGGCCAGAGGCGGCCAGGGGTGCACCTGCTGCTGCAGCGTCCTCTGCCTCCGGCCCCGCCCCTCGCGAGTTGTTGAAGAAGGTGCAGCACACGTGGAAGCCCGTGGCGCGGTCGAACCCGGACTCTCCCACCGACACAGAACAGCGGCCGACGTCTTTCTCATCGTCGGCTGCTGCTCGTTCTACTACTGAGGGCTTTGTGGCTCCTGATGGTCAGAGCGCTGGGAGGAATGAGAGTCCGCCAGCTGCTGCGGCTGAGAGGATCACGGTGGCTGGGACACCTGCGCCCGTCGGCGCACCCTCCACCCACCAGCCCGCAGACGCAAACCAGCAATGGCTGATCGACTCCCAGCATTTGCGAGGGGGTCTGACGGAGCTGGGTGTGAGCGTCGACCCGGGAGAGCTGGACGACGTGCCCTCGCCCCCGCCCTTCGCCCCACCGAACCTGCGGCAACCTGCTGCGGGCCCTCCCCCATCTCCCCCACCACTCCCTCCCCATCTGTTGCCCGGGCTCAACGGCAGCATGCCTCTCCCAGGGCATGAGGGCGCGGCGAGCGATGGTGCTGACCAGGAGAGGCAGAGGCGGGATGCATCGCCGCCGTGCAGCCCCACCCCAGCCGCGGCAGCAGCAGCAGCAGCAGCAGCGGCTTCATCATCGGCATCATCAATCTCGGTGGGTCACCTTGGCGACGGCTGGTGGCGGCCGCCACCTTTTCCCCCGCCCCCGCCCCCTGCCCCTCCCACCATCCTCAGTCACCTGCAGCCGCCCCCATTCCCACCACCACCAGCACCAGCAGCCCCACCAGCAGCCGTGAGTGCCAGTGCAGCACCTGTGACAGCAGCAGCAGCAGCAGCTGCTGCTGCTGCAGCAGCTGCTGCTTCCGTGACGCCCAGCCAGCCGTCGTCTCCTGGGCAAGACAGCCCGCTGCCGGCCAGCGACATGGTGGAGGGTAGCACGGCGACGAGTTCGGGCAACCTGCGAGACGACAACAATGGGGTGCCCGGGGGCGGGAGTGGAAATAATGACGGTGGTGGTGGAGGAGGGGTGATGACGGGTGAGGAGGCGTTGGCCGATGTGGATTGGTCGTGTTTGAGTCTGGACGAGATGAAGGCGCAGTACAGGCGGCTTATAGACTTTGGCGAACGAGACCTTAACGACAGATAGACAGCCGAGCGTCTGACTGAGTGAATGAGTAGGTGAATGAGTGAGTGGGTGACTGGACGGACGGACGGACCACAGGTGTAGATACATACGATGCGCATGCATGTCGTCTGGCTGGCTGCCTGACGGGATTGACTTCTGGCACCTTCCTTCTGCATGACGTGGCATGAGTGGCTGTGTCAGTCAATTGATCAATGTGCTGGATGGGCGAAATGGTGATGTACTTGTCGCTACTCCAGCACTCGATGACCAATGAATCCGACCCGTGACAGCCATGCAGCTGCGCGGCAGTGTGGGGTACCGGCGCACACGCTAGGGGCAGGGCCACTCCCACACTCTGACGGAAGCTGGCATGGTGTAGTTGGTTATCACGTACGCCTCACACGCGTAAGGTCCCCGGTTCGAGCCCGGGTGCCAGTATTTATGATACCACGCAATTATACTTCCGTGGCGTGTCATTCTTCGGACATCCTTGCCGCTTCCTCCCTCGTGGTTTGGTGGCTTTCGGTCCCTGAGCTCCGCTGAGGATTGTCGTTACCCTAAACCCTAAATCGAGACAACCTCTATGTTATGATTGCGACAGGGTTTAGGGTTGAGGGTTTAGGGTTGAGGGTTTAAGGACCAACCCTAAACCCTAAACCCTACCACTAGTCGGTCAGCACTTCAAATGGTCTGTTTCACCGACGAATCTTGTCAGTTGCGACAACAGTGGAGGATGCTCAGCGATAACCAACTGATAAGGCTTACCGGCGGCGTCTGTTGCACACACCTGCAGTGAAGCTGTATGGTTGCTGGCTGCTGGTTGATGGCTGTCCTTCCGCCTATCCATCCATCCATCCATCGACGAGAGGACAAATTGCCTCTTTCCTAGCTACAAGAAGCAAGCAACCAACAGACGCTACAGACAGACGCAAAAACCAGCACCCTGCCTGGGCCAGCTACCTACCTCTACATACACACATGAAAAATGCCCGCCACGAATTGTGGCCACTGTCCGATATATAGCTGCCAGCTGCCATCGATGGCTCATGGCGGCGCCCCTCTGGTGGGCATCTCCGTGACGGTGGCGAATGGCCGGCAGTGCTCTTGCGTGACGGTGTGGAAGAGCTGCCGAATGGGGGTGGCGTGCAGGACGCTCGCCGGCTTGGACAGAATGGAACTGACAACACAACACACAGAGAGAGAGACAGGCAGACAGACAGACAGGAGTGTGTGGTGGTATGGAGGGAGGGAGGGAGAGGGTGTGTGTGGTGCACCCTTACTGGCAGGTGTCTCTGTCCATGTGGTCTTTGAGTGGGTGTGGGTTCTTGCGCAGGACGAAGCCGTAGTAGAAGGCGTAGTCGGCGTTGGTCTTGCTGCTGGTCTTCTCGTACGATATCAATACCTCCTCACCTGCATTGAATGCATTGCACCGAAACATGGCGCACACACACGCACATCCACATCCACATCCACACACGCACATCACGTGGCTGCAGTTGGTCATCAAATTTGATACCTTTCCGGACCCTCCTGGTTGTGTTGAACTGCAGCCGTTCGGACGAGGGGTTATAATCCCACACCGCATTCAGCTTGGGCACTGGGTCCGTATTCGCCTAAACACACACACACACACCCTCCCTCCCTCCCGCACCTCACACACGCACCCAGGTGACCTACCTTATCAGCGTATGGCGCCAAAACGAACCGCCTCGTGCCGTTCAGGTCCATGCCCATACACCGAGACAGACAGATGGCCGACCCCCACATCCACTCATCGTCCCCCATCCTCGCCAGCTGCCCGTCGACCGCATAGCGCGTCAGACGCTTGTACGACCGCCGGAGGGACTCCCGCGCCAGCACCACCAGCCGGGCTAGAGGAAGTTTATCGTACACCTCTGCGCGCAGTAGACAGAGATAGGGAAGGAGAGAGAGTGCTCTGGTGCCCTGTGTGTGCATGTGTGTGTGTGAATGGATGTGGGTGTGGTTGCTCCACCGAGGTCTTCGTCGGTCGCAAACAGCGGGTGGTTCGTGCGGAACCAGTCTGCAGCAAGCAGCCATAGACAGACAGACAACACATACATACACACAGTCCATCCATCGATCGATTCTTCCCTCCCCCTTGCTGAGACCCACCGAGTGACGGCAGTGTGGGAAGGTAGAGGGCGAAATTCGACGCGTCCCCGAGCATCTCCTGCTCATGCAGTGCCGCAGCGATGCGCATCGGACCATCGATCTGAACCGCATCATCTGCACACACACAAACACGTACAGAGGGCCCATCAACGAATCGATTCCCCCCTCTGTGAGCGGATGGAATGGATCAATGAATTGTCGCGTCACATACGTCGTGGGCACGCCTTGCAGTCCTCCTCTGACAGGAGGAGCGACCGGGGTATCTCCAGGACAGTCGTGGCCGCAGCGAAGGACGACGTATAAGCCAGGCCCTCCACACCCATACCTGACTCGCCCACACACACACAGCTATAGCTTACACATAGATTGACAGACACAGATTGACTGACACTTTTCGGCCCATCTTACTTACCGCCATGGTAGAACCGCCTGAGTGTGACGTTCTCACAGCTGCCTCCCTGTGCAGCCACCATGTCCTGCAGCCCCCTCCACGCCTCGACCGGCGTCCCTTCCGGCCGCCTCGTGAGCCACTGCCACCCGTACCTCCCGTACCGCCAGTTGACAAAGATCTCGGATATGATCAGCAGGCAGAGGAAGAGCAGCACGAAGCGAAAGTCAAACACGAAGGCAAACGTGCTGTTGGTGTTGTTGTTGTTTGCTCGTCCATTGCCGCCTTGCTGCTGCATCGCTGCAGCCGCTTGGCGTGACGATGCCTTGCAGCCGCTGTCGCTTTCTGTTGCTGCTGCTACTGCTGCTGGTGTCTTTGTGGCTCTTCGAGGGCGGATCAGTCGAGCATCCGGCGATGATGCTGCCGTCATGAATGAACCCGCTCGCCCATCGCTGACGATTGGAGAATTGCGGTCCTGCTGACCACAGCGAACGGGGCGCGCCAACTCTTTTTCCAGATATGCACACTAAGCTCGCAAAAGGCGATCGGACGCTTCGTGTTGGCAGCCGTTGCGTCCGCGATGTCCCAAGTGCATCAGTGAGACCATCGCTGTTCACTTGCAACCACATCCCTCCCGTCCGTCCACCTTGCCGCGCCGACTCGAGATCTCTTTCGTCGCCCATCAATCATGCTGGTGCTGTGGCTGGTTGCTCTCCACTCACTACTCTGCCCGCCGTGCTCGGCCCTGGGCCTCGCTGGTTCATCCCATCTGTCACATGATCCGAGTGTGCCGGGCGCCTTCCTGCCCGCTGCCGCCCCTCAGCAGCGGCCCGTGGGCTTCCTGCGGCGCCGCACTGGTCGGCATGCCGCCACTCGCAGATATGCATCTCCGTGGGATGCAGATCTGAAGGTGAGAAGAGAGTGAAAGAGGGAGGGCAGGTCGTGCACTTCAGCCTACAGAGGATCACTCAATTTTTCACCACGCGTCTCTTTCTCTCTGTGTCTGTCAGTTCCTGCCTTATGGAGCGGAGGGCTCGCCCGAAAGAGGTATGAGAAGAGGAGCAGGAAGAAACCGGTCATGTGAGAGCGAGAGTGTGTTTGTGTGTCCATCATGGGGATGGGTGGAGTCAGAGATTGAGGCGCCCTTCCGCGAGTGGCAAGAGGCGAATGAGAAGCACTGGCAGCTCCAGCTCCTTGACATTGACCCCGAAGACAACTCGACATACGCCAGAGAGCTCGAGGCCGCCGAGCAACGAGAGGACGCTGCTTACCAGAGTCTGGTGGCGCGGCTCGCCGGAAACGGTGAGAAAGTCAAGACGTCCCTTCTCATTTCTTGCTGTGACTGATCTGTGTGTGTGTGTGTGTGTGTGTGTGTGTGCGTGTCGGCCATCCATCCATCTGTGTAGACACGTTGTGTTGGTACCTGGTGGACACGTATTGGGCGATTGCGGGGGACGGCTGGCGGGGCTTGTGGGGGCAGGAGGAGGGCATGAAATATGAGGACCGGCGCAACGTCATCGTCGAGGAATTCATCTTTCCCCGGCAGCATCAGATTGACCCCAACGGTGTGTCTGTACATATGGAGCTGTGAAAGAAAGGAATAAACCAAGAGAGTCCGATGGACGTGTGTGCAGGCACGCTGACCATCGAGATGTTCGACCAGGCTGGGAGGAAGCTCCGCGAGGCACAGGCCAACATCTATGTCGAGCGCGCCAAGTGTGAAGCGGTCGGGAGTACTGATCCTTTCTGCTCCGCGCGAGCGTTTTATGCCAAGCAGAGCCGCTACGACGCGTGGCAGCGGATCCTCGGCAAATACCAAAGCTCACCTGACGCATGTAGGGAAGGAAGCGGGCACTCACCCACCCACACACCCAGCTCCATGTGTGTCTTGTGTGTCCTCTGTGCAGCAATCGATGTGCGGGCGAGGTACAAGCAGTGGCTGTCACTTGCTGTGGCGGAGGCGCAGGGCCTCAAGTAGGCAGGCAGGCAGGTAGGTCAGGCAGACAGACAGGTAGGGAGGCAAACAGGTAGCTATTCGTGGCGCTTTTTCCGGTGTGTGGACCGGACTGGCCCGGCCAGTCAGTCTAGCCAGTGAGCGAGCAGGTCGGATCTTATAGGTAGGTGGTGTGCATGGCATGACAATTGTGGGACGGCACACGCGGGGCAGTGGTGGAATGCTGGGTGGCTCTCCTTGACGGTGGACGTATGAATGGCTGTATGCGGTCTCTGTTGTGCGCCGTGCGGAGGCCACGATATGGATGGGTCGCCGGACGAGGAGAGAGTGAGTCAGAGATTTTGTCTGTGGGGTGGGCTGTGGCTGCCGTGTCCCCTTCCTTCTGTCGATCGTCTCTGCCTTGCCCATCGCACTCGATCACTCTAGCCCAGTGAGTGGGTGAAAGGGGTCGATGGATGAGCAAGGCAAGGACAGTCAACAAAGCGACCGACACTCAACAACCGTCTGTCTGTCTGTCTGTCTGTGCCGGCACTCACTGCAAGTAGGTAGGTGATTGATTAGCTTGTCAGGTTGTCTGTCTTTTCATTTCGCGTTGTCTCCTGAGTCTGGGTCTTCTCCTTGTTGCATTGGCCGTGAGAGTGGTGGACGGGGCGGCACCTGACTGACATGTGTGGCCTCTGCCATCGCTCGTGGGTGATGGATGCGCCGAGGGGAAGAACCGGCATGAGGCGACGTGAGGACATTTGGTTGATGTGATGGATGCATTGATCGATGTGATTCACTCACGTGGACGGACCACTTGTATGTCTGTAACAGACAGACATAACGGCAAAGATGTCCGTCCGTCGGAGACACGCAAAGACCCCTCAACTAACACGAAACGCATCATGCATCGTCATATCATGACCACATCTGTCTGCTGCGATTCGATTCCCCCTTAACTAATTATTGTGCTGCTGCTGCTGCATGAGCACATGCATCTCTGTCTGAGTGCCTGCCCGGCTGCTGATGAGGCTGGACAGAGTGCGCGACTGGTTCGGGGGGCTCTCGGGGTCGCCGAATGCGTCGCTGGCCAGCATGTGTGTGTAGAGGGCGAGAGTCCTCACTGCCAACACGAAACGGGCGTGCTGACATGAAGATGGCATGATGAGACGAGTGCACCTATGACAAAGAGGAACGGACAAGCTCTCTCTCTCTGTGTGTGTGTGTGTGTGTGTGCGCGCGCCTGTGTGTGTGTCTCTTACGGTGTCTCAGTGTGGTTGGCCTCAATGGTCACACACAGCTGGTCGTCACAGCAGGCCGCCTCACGTACGACCGGGGGGTGGAACGATCCCGTGACGAGCCTGTCAATCTGCCGCATCTGGACGGAGAAACACTTGGTTTCCACCTGGAAGGTCAGGACGTCGCATGAGCCGCTGAGGAAGACCTCACACGGTTGCATGGACACCCTGAGACACACACACAGCACAGGGAGGGAGGGAG